TTCTTTTATGCCTTATAGAGTATAGGTTTCTTATTTTATTCTCCTGTTAGAAGGAAAACTTCGTGTTAGTTATCTGGTTGCCATAGTGCCTTCTTATCCGTGGCCATGTTCTATTTGTGTTCATGATGGAAAATCCTTCTAGTCACAGCTGGAGTCACTTCAAGGCACCTGTAAATCAAATCTTTCTCAATCTCCAGGTTCAATCCTGTCACTACTGATGGGGAAGTTTATGAACTTTTTCTCAGCAGCTGTGTTACTCAGCCTCAAGATATCCTAGAGAATGGATTCTCTCTAACCTCGGCTCTAATTCTATTAGCTCTGTTCTGTCTTTATTTCTTGACTGGGGACTTGACTTCCATCACAGCAGCAATAAACATGTCTGCTGGGATGTGGGTAGAATGGTGTTTTCCAGGCTGTCTCCTCTGTTTTCCATGAAGTGAGATTTTTCTAAAGGCTCCTGTAAGGCCACAAGCCCAGCTGGGCTAGGGCAGCAGGGTGTCTATTGTGCCAAGAGGCCAAAGAAATGACCCAGAGACTGTGAAGGAGACATATAGGTTTATTGGGTCCTACTTATAGGAGAGCGTCCAGTGGCGGCCAGCTGGACGGAAGTGTGCACCCGCAACGACACCCCAAGAGAAGCTTGCTTAAGTGGGCGGAGGAACAAAGCCCACATGCTTGCCAAAGGGCTGTCCTTGGTTCGACCAGCGTTCCCAGAACAGTAGCTCACATGGAGGGGCTCTGTGTCACTGTAAGATGCCATGTTCTTCTCCTGGGATAAGGGAGGATCCAGGCCGGCCAGGCCCAGATGGTTACAAATCCCAGTAGCTGGGCTGCCTGCTTGGCAGGGAGCCAGAAGGACACATGGTTACAATGGGCCTGGGCATTTCTGCTGAGCAAGCAAGGCCCAGGCCCTACAACTCCTAACCCCTAGCTCCATTACCACATGCTCTACTTCACAAAGGAAGTTGGAGTACCCCTTTCGATGGTGAGTTTGGAAGCCTGAACCCCAAAGAAAGCACATTTTCTGTTCTACTCTTTCATGCTTTGTGTCTCGTATGGATTGGTCTCCTATGCAGAAAGCCTATAATTAGTCTTCTGACTGAACAGATAAGACTCTCCAATTTTCATTTGGGGTTTCACTATTAAGACACTTATTGTAGGCCTAACGTCTAATCTAGGTTCTATCAGTAATAAAGTAATCTGCTTGACTCTTTTCTCTTGTCTTACTTTATACTGAACATGGACAGAGAAAAGGGATGTTATATTGTGACCCCTGAAATTCTAAACAGGTTCTTGTCATATTCTCTAAGTCTCTATCCTTGACTCTAAAACCTATATTCCTGCATCATATTGTTTAGCGTCATATTCCTACACCTTGCCTGAGTCCTGGTGTCATATCCAGGGACCCCGTGATGATTTCACAGAGCCTAGCTCCTTGTACTTCTACCTACACCCTCTGATACAATCCTCTGTCCAACTCTAAGGATATTTGTCAGTTAACTATTCCTTTTTTCTTGGAGACATTGGTGCCTCTCTGCAGTCTTTTCCCTTGACATATGTGACTCAACATTTTATGACCTTTTAGCAACTCTTGCTCTGTCTCCTGGTCTCGTCCTCTTTCATCAACTTCTAAATAGTAGAGGTCCTGAATTCTCTGTTCTGAGATTTTTTTCTCTTCTCTTTCTGCATTCTCTTCTTATATTATTTAAACAATGTCTTTATGAGCGTGAACACTAAATGTGTATCCCAGAGCGGACTACTTCCTTCAGTTATAAACTCATTTGTCCACCTTTCTAATTTACATCTAGAGTGGAATGTCTTTCAAGAATTTTAAACTTAACACATCCAAAACTGAACACTTGATTTCCTTTCTATTCAAATTAATTTCTTTCTCTCTTTCTCTCGTCTACTCAGATATTATTACCATTCACCTTAAGAAGTTTTGAGGTCGTTCTTATGAGGGTCATTCTGCTTTCTCCTTCATATCTTAATTATATCTATATTCAAATTCCATAATTGTCTCACCTAATTTCTCACATGCACTCACTTGTTTTCATTGCTACCACCACTACCTTAGGGACCAAGGTATCTTTCTCTCACCAGAACATTAAAATAACCTTCAAGCTTGTCTGCATTGCTAACATGTTTATGAAGCTGTTTCAAAAGCTTCTCATTGCATGATAATAATATCTAAACTTTTAAATATGACCTACAAGGTACTGCATAATCTGTCTATTGAATCCGTCTCCTATTTCTTTTTGAAACCATCTTACCCTACAATACACTCTAAACGTGTTGTTTGTCTTTTAATTCCCAAAAGAAGTAAGAGTTTTCTTGGGTTAGGTCTTTAATATTTATAGCTTCCTTTCCTTGAAAATATTTATCCCAAATATTCACATTTCTGGCTTGTTTTTATCCTCAGGTCTCATCTAAAATGTTAGTTCCTCAGAGGGACTTTGGCATAGTATTCATCTAAAAAAGATACTCCCTAGTGTTCTGTGGGAGCCTTTTCTTTCATTGTCATTACGACAATATCTAATGATAGATTTTTCTTTTGTATATTAGTTTATTTCTTCACCTGTACTGTTGTAAACTCTGTTAACTTGGGATTGAGTCTGTCTTGTTGATCACTATATTCTCTGGTACAGCACAGTTTTCCGCATAGGGCAGGCTCTCAAAAAAAAGTTGTTGAATGAATTAACAAATGTATCCAGGAAAGAAGCCTAATTAACTGTCAAAAAATATTTAAATGTGTGTATGTGTGTATATGAGTGTAAAAAATAATTATAGTGACAACACTCCAAATGTTTGTATCTAGTAGCCAGTTGGCTTAGCAATTTAAGTTCCTTGACTAGTTAGATTATTTTTAGTGTGTACACATCTCCTAAGTGTGACTAGTTAGATATTCCACAATGCATAGTACCCTCCAGAGTCAAGCCTTAATAACTAGCATTTTTAAATACTTTGACTTACTGCTATACGACCCTCTTAAAATGAAGACCACCATTTCATTACCGTACTGATGTGGTACAGAGTTGATATAAAGGCAAAGAACTAAAGAATAGATGATGGGTGGCTTCTATGTTGATTCTCTATATTTTGTTCCTTCTTAGATTTATTTAAATATTGCTTGTTATTACTTTCTCAAAAATTTGTCCTTATCTCATTTCATCAAAAGGATATTTCTTTGGATTAGTAAAGTTTTTCTCAAATACAAATACAGGTTATATTGAGAATTGCGGCTTTCAGTATGTGCCTCCATGTACACGGCTTTTCCTAGGATGAGAAAGGAGGGAGGAAGAGAGTGGAGAGAGAAGAAGGAAAAACAGCATCAAATGAGGAGAAACAGAGGTGAACTTTGACCTCCACTGCCACCCTCTCCCTTATCTTTGTTGTCGCGGTGACCACTGTGTTACTTTCTCTATGATTGCTTCAATACATGTCTATCCAAATAGAACTATTTTAAGAGAAAAGAAGTTGATTACACGAACTACACTTATCATAATTACATTCCTAAAGTAGGTTCCCTGAGTTATAAAAATTTGATTCCAAAAAGTATGCTTAAACATGGTTTTATTTCTAATAATAGAATCAAAGAAAGAGTGTCCTGACAATATTAATTTAACTTTGTTTTTCAAGCTTTCTGTTAACTTAATGAGGAAAAACTCTTGTGATTTGGAGAGTGAAATCCCCCATGATTTTTTTTTTTAATAAGGTCTTTTGATTCAACAGAACTTCAAAGACAAGCTGGTAAAGATGCAAATTAATTTAATGGATAAGCCTCCAAAGGGCTGATTAGGAGCTAGTTATTGACACTTCTTTAGCCACTTGTAAGACACATCCAATAACCAGGGTTAACTGGAAACATAGAGACAGTAGGTTATTTTGCAAGACTCTCAAAAATAAAAAGAGAGTGTAAGTGGTCACATTTTTCTTAACATAGTCATTTTGAACAATGCGCTAATAATTAAACCTTTCTGTCCTAAAAATATAGGCATAGTACCAATGCTAAGGCAGTGTTAATCAAATATGCGTCCCGGAAACTGGCAGCACTTCCTTTGATAAGCTATTGCAGGTGCTTTACAAGTCAAAAGGCATCCTCTTGATGTTGTTAAATTTAATTGCCTTTTACAAAAGGTAATTGTTCTCTGTCATTTTGCATGAAATTAGGACTTAATTTCATGGTTTAAATTTATTAAAACCTGTACATTATATATAATTATATATGTACATATAATAATACATATAAGATTATATGTGTATATGTATAATAAATATATGCAAATATATGCATACATTTAAAACACATTTAAAATTATGAAAAAGATCTCTGCCAATAATTACAATAAAAATCTTAGAGTCTAAGGTATTTAATCTCAAATACCTACCATCTAATACAATGAATTACCTATTTGATTATTACTTGAAAATTTAACACCAGTGCATTTTTGAATTATTGTAATTTATGATGAGCTTCATGTTGGCATATTACTTTCAGTTAATATGATTCTTTCTATTCTTATGAGGCAACTTAAAAAAAAAAACTTTTATGTCTTTTCAAAGCCAGTCTTAAATCTTTCTTTCAATTGTTCCAAAGTATTATTAAATTACTACTTAGCTTTGGATAATATATCATGAGAAGACGGAAAGAAATTTGTGAGCTTGTAAATATAATTTTTCATGATGTTCTATAAGCCTGATTATCTTTCCTTTTCCTTCACTGATGTGAGTGATCAATTTTTCTTTTGCTTCCATGTTGATATCGCTTAATTACACAGTGGTACTAATCTTTTTAATGTTTATGCTTATAACGAGAATAAAAATTATGCCCAATAGGGCCTGGGCCTTGCTTGCTCAGCAAAAGCCCCCAGGCCCATTGAAACCATGTGTCCTTCTGGCTCCCTTCTGGGCAGGCAGCCCAGTTACCGGGATTTGTAACCATCTGGGCCTGGCCAGCCCAGATCCTCCCTTATCCCATGAGAAGAACATCACGTCTTACAGGGACACAGAGCCCCTCCACGTGAGCTACTGTTCTGGGAACGCTGGTTGTACCAAGGACAGCCCTTTGGCAAGCATGCAGCCTTTGTTCCTCCGCCCACTTAAGCCAGCTTCTCTTGGGGGGCGATTGCGGGTGCACGCTTCCATCCAGCCAACCACCACTGGACCCTCTCCCGTAAGTAGGACCCAATAAACCTACATGTCTTGTTCGCAGTCTCCAGGTTGTTCCTTCGGTCTCTCAGCACGATACCCCACTGGCTGGGCTTGCGGCCTTACACCCCGTTTGCATTGTTGGGCATGGTAAAAAAGAATGGGCAAGGGAAATTTGAATTTGATGCAGTTTGGCCATGCTTTAGGCCTTATCCTCCATTGTGTCCTCCCCTGTTCACATCCTCTGTCATTCTCTCCTCTGGGGAGCAACACAATTAACCACCTCTCTCACTATATACTTCCTTGATTTTCATTTTCTCAAAGCTAAGTACATTAAAACTTACCTCTTTGTCATATATATATAAAATATAATGTACATGTGTGCAGTGTATACACTGCACACAAAAATCTGTTTATACAATTTAGAGAAACAGATACAACAAAAATAAACATAAATCTGCATACTAACCACCTGCTCCCCACTAAAAAACCCAAAAGACTACTAGTATTGTAGAATTCCCTGTGCTTGCTTCCATTATCTCATCCCGTCTCTACCATCCTAGAGTTAAAACCGATCCGAAAGTCAGTGAATCATTCCTTGATATTCTTTTCGAATATTTCTGTTATCTATAAATGTTTCCTTAAAGTATACATTGCTCCGTTTTCCAGGTTTTTAATTCTATTTTAATGTAAACATAGGTGTATATTCTGTGATTTGCTTCTTCTACTTACCACTAAAATGTTGTAATGCAACTATGTCAGTTTATATAGCTGTGGTTGATTTCTTCTCACTGGTGTTTTGTTTAGTGATTGGTTCCAATTTTTCACCCCTCCCTGCGTCCACGCCCTTGCTGAGGCCTCATCATGGACAGGTATATTTCCCTGTCTGTTGAATTTGGGCTTGACCATGACATGTTGACATATTTTGGCCTTGAATTAAACAAAATCTTAAAATACGTGGCGTTGGCTTTGCAGAACTAGTTGAGGTCAAAATCATCACAACTTTTTGTTAAGAATTTTAAAAGAATTATGGTGATAACTTCTTATCATTTCAACTGGAAGTGGACTTCAAGAAAGGTTAGGAGAATAGACCTACAGAAGCCTGATGTGTTCAAAGTGTTTCTACTTGACTCTAGAGAGAGAGGTACCTCTTAAGAAGAATTGTGCATGTGACTTTTGGCACATTAACTTGATTAGAATCAAATATTTAGAAAGCCTAAAATGTTTTTAGAGAGAGCCATATTGGCAAAAGCATTAATAACCTGAACTAAAAGGGAGTGAGACTCTATGTGATATAAGAGGACATCTGAGCCCCCAACTTTCTATGGGCAGAGTGCAGGATATGCAAAAACACATATATTCCAAAGTCCTCTTGAGAAATAGCAAAGATGGATAATAAAAAAAAGAAAGAAACTTCCAAGGAGCAGAGCCAAGAACAGAGGCAAGAGCTGTGCAGAAAAATGGTCAGAGAAGACAATCCCAGGTTGTAGAATGTGAGCCTAAACCAGGTTCTCTTCCTGTTGTAACTGAACAGACTTGCATTTACCCAGTGGGAATTCAGAATTTCTAAGGACTAAAGACTGTCACATGTTTTCCATTGTTCTCTTTTTACTGGGAGTGTTTATTATGGTTTTCCTGTCAAGCTGTCACTGTTTGGTGGTGGAATCTTGGTTGCGTGCAGAGAAGATAACCTTTTAGTTCACGAGTCTTTGGATCAAGAGCAACTTCAATCAGACCTGTGGACCTAATGTATTAACGAGATCTCAGTGTCGGGATTGGATGAGGCTTTCAGGGTCCTAAAATGAGAGTGAGTGCATTTTGCATGTGGGAGGGTTATGAATAATTGTGACCAAGAGGGGAGACTAAGGTAAATTGAACTATTGGCCATGATTCCTTATCTCTCGCACCTACAAACTTGGCATTACCTCAGGCTGGGGGAATTGGTGGGGTGTGCTTCCTGAAACCTTGACTTTGGGCTTGGTTGTATGATTTGCTGGGGCAAGTCAGATGTGACAGAAGTGCAAGTGCCAGTTCCAAGCCTAGGCCTGCGAAGAACTTCACTTTTTTCAACTTGTCCTCATGTACTTCTGCCATCACGAATATTGCTGCTGCTCCTGCAGTCTGGGCTCCGAAAGAGACGTGAGACAGCTAGACTTGGACCTTGAAGAAGGGCGTCCCAGTCAAGCCCAGCCTAGGTCAGCCGACTCCTAGCCCATCCACAAAGAGCCTTCCCATTGATCTGTGAGAAATAATTGCTTTTTCTTGTATTCCACTGAGAAGCTTGTTCTGTTGAAGAGTTAACTGATTCAGAAGGGTAGTATATTATTTGATAAACATAGGATAATTTTATATCCTTAATAGACTGATGGGCATTTAGGTTATTTCCAGTTTGGGCAGTTGTTAGGTTGTTGATCCTCAACATTAAACTTCTAATTCTACACCTTGCTTTCTGATTCTGGGGTTGGAACTTCTGCAAGTCACATTTTCACTTTGCCAGCTGATGGCCTGTTAGGTTCCATAAATATGAGGTGTTGTAGGGAGATTACAAGGCTGGAGGAGGAGGCAAGGTCTTGCTTTTTCCTATTTGCTTCCTGCTACTTTTTTCTGCTTCCTTTGAGGATCATCCTAGCAAACATCTTCATCTCAGCAACAGAAGTTCTTCCCACAGCTATAGTTCAATCTGCTTTGTAGTTTTACTGAAATTCACGAAATCTTCTTGTGTCCCCTCAGACAGAGCAGCACCGATGACTGGCGCTTCCCACTCAGAGGTCCAGATCCAAGCCCACCACTCCCTCCCCAGAGGCCTCAGCCATGTTTCAGCTCTGCAGGCCCTTCTCTCCAAGCTTTGAGTTTTTATGCTTTCAATCTTTTCCATTTTGTCCCATTAGTCCTAGAGTTGTTAGCTGCTTCCTGCAGTTTCTACCTTTGTGATAACTTCCTGTTTTCTTTCTGCATTTTCTGACACCTACTGAACAAATTTATGTCTAGTTAGTAATTTTTGATATTTCATTCTCTCTGTTAAAATAATTGGAGTAATTTCCATATCCTGATTGAATCCTCACCATTTTTTTGAAGATGGCTATAAACATTTTTGAGCATTACTCTCAAGGCTTATGTTTAGGAGTTTCTGCAGCATATACCCCTAACAGTGGAATTGGCTCATAGGCTATTCATATGTTTAACCACGAGGCAATTCCCACTCTCTCTACAGTGTGGTTATGTTAATTTACACTTCCAACAACAGTAAACAAGAGTTCCCAGTACTCGACATTCCCATCAACACTGGTAGTCTGACGCTTTTTTCTCCTTCCCATAGTTGTGAAATTATATCTCATTGTCACTTTAATATGCATTCTTTAGATTACGAATGAGTTTGAACATCTTTAGATGTGTATAAAACTATTTTATGCTTTAGCGGTGGTACTTGAAATTAAGAGATGGTAAGTTCATGAGAATCACATCTTTGCTCAAATCACCCCACGCCAAGTTCAGCATTACAGTAGAAGTGTCATTATAAAGGGTGAGTGATTTCCCTAGATTTTCACGTAATGTAGCAAATGTAGGTTCAAGGCTGCTGTCAAAGGGATGGTGGACAAAAATGAAGCAATTGTTGAAAAGAAGACTCTAACGTGGATCAAATAAGAATTAAAAAGGAAACTCCCCCCATTTCCCACAAATGTAAAAGTACAGAGACCTATGAAAGGCAGGAGATAAGCTGCCTCATGACAGTTTAAAACACTCCCCATTTTAAACCCACTGGCAGTGTCTCAAGAGCCAATATCTCCTGGAAAAGTGAGGCTATTGTCTTGCTCTTGGCTGTTTTAACTAAACATCTGCCCCTCTATCTAATGTTTTGAGAGAAAGCATGTATGCCTCAGTGTGCATATGACCCCTATTAAAGGAAATTCAGAAATGGGTTAGCATTGAAATTAAATTTCTTGAATATTGAGATAATGTAGCCAGAATCATGATATCAATACCTCTCCATCTAATTTATTCCACACGATTAGATTTTGTGCTAATCTTACAAAGGTAAAACACTTTATCTCTCTTCAAATCAGTGAAGGGTGGGCATTAATTACATATAGACATCATCAGTACTGGGGACATGGACACTAGCACCAGGAAATCTCCAAATCTACCTATGTCCTCTATCCATGTAATACTCTTTGCAATCAAAGTACAGAGCATGAACGTGTGGCCCATATGTGCTTGAGACAAGAGTTTGCCTGCGCAGAAAAATCAGTTCTTACTTGTAACACAATTTTTAAAAATGTACTAGAAACAAAACGCACAGAGCCTTTGGAGGTTTGCTATGTGTTCAGATGCCAGCCTTTTGGTAAACTATTCACAAATTTTCTTTGAGATGAAAGTCATGTTGTAGGAACTAAGAAACATTCATTTTTGAGCAGGTGGTTAAGCTACCCAGGAGAGATTTTAACTTTCCTCACAGTGACAAGAAATACTCTAATGAAAAAGAAACACATTGCTAGCTCTGAAGCTAACAGTGACAAAGTAAAATTAAATCAGACATTCTATTTTGATAAGGAGTTGTTAATTGTGACATGATATCTCATTTTCCAAGGTTTATATTCTATAACTGATGCAAATTTGGAGGTAGTAAGCCTGGATTTCAGGAGCGATTTCATCTCAGAAATGCAGCAATATCATTTCTTTCACTGTGTTGGACTAACGTTTTGAATCCAGATATTCACTGTGCAGTGTTTTCTCTTGCATCCTCCTTTTCCTTCTAACTCACACCTTTGGGACGCTCGCTTGTATCCTGTTCGTCCTATGATTTACCGTGGTTCTCTTTCTTTTCTAACTGACAAACAGATATGACAATAACTCCCCTATTCTTCTGGGGAAATCTGTGACAGAAGTGTGCAATTGGGCAGAAACTGTCAGAACAGCTTTTATCAAAACCGGCAATTCTTTATTTAACACAAATGACATCCAATTAACTTTGCACTTGTAGTGTGAGTGCTGGATGATCTCAGGATTTTCCATTGCTTTCTCCTGACA